CACCTTCCACAACCTACCACAACCCACCTACCACAACCTTCCACACCCACCTACCACAACCCACCTTCCACAACCCACCTACCACAACCCACCTACCACAACCCACCTACCACAACCCACCTTCCACAACCCACCTACCACAACCCACCCACACCACAAACCCACCTTCCACAACCCACCTTCCACAACCCACCTTCCACAACCCACCTACCACAACCCACCTTCCACAACCCACCCACAACCACAACCCACCTTCCACAACCCACCTACCACAACCCACCTTCCACAACCCACCTACCACAACCACCTTCCCCCACCTTCCACAACCCACCTTCCACAACCCACCTTCCACAACCCACACCTTCCACAACCCACCTACCACAACCCACCTTCCACAACCCACCTTCCACAACCCACCTACCACAACCCCTTCCACAACCCACCTTCCACAACCCACCTACCACAACCCACCTTCCACAACCCACCTTCCACCTACCACAACCCCACCTTCCACAACCCACCTACCACAACCCACCTACCACAACCCACAACAACCCCCTTCCACAACCCACCTTCCACAACCCACCTTCCACAACCCACCTACCACAACCCACCTTCCACAACCCACCTTCCACAACCCACCTTCCACAACCCACCTACCACAACCCACCTTCCACAACCCACCTACCACAACCCACCTACCACAACCCACCTTCCACAACCCACCTTCCACAACCCACCTACCACAACCCACCTTCCACAACCCACCTACCACAACCCACCTTCCACAATCCACCTACCACAACCCACCTACCACAACCCACCTTCCACAACCCACCTTCCACAACCCACCTTCCACAACCCACAACCCACCTACCACAACCCACCTTCCACAACCCACCTACCACAACCCACCTACCACAACCCACCTACCACAACCCACCTACCACAACCCACCTTCCACAACCCACCTTCCACAACACTATAGTACAAAAATGAAAACTTAATTACAAGAACTGGAAAAGTTAGGGGAGGTGAGCAGCAGGTGGAGGGACCATGCTGGGCCTCGCTGGAGTATGACCAGCTCTCCCTCCCTCTCTCCCTCTACCTCTCCTTCCCTCTCACTCCCTCACCCCCTCCCTCACTCCCTCTCCCGGCCGTTGACCGCGTACACAACCAGTTAGCTTAAGTTGTATGACTAAATACCCCATTGTTTCCCCCCCCCCCTTTCAATGTGAATACATTCCAACGTAGCACTTCCTTCCCTCCAGTTCCCATGTATCTACGCCCTCCAAGCTTTTCCCATTGGATTCTAAGCATCTCTGCGCGGATTCACAGCATCGCTAATTGGATTCGAAGCACCGCAGGCCCGGTTCAAAGCGTCGCTAATTAGATTCCGAGTGTCCTATAAGGAATGCAATACATCAAAGTCCACAGACGGCTAGAATCAAAGCGTTTGGCAGGTGATTCGAATGCCCGACGCTCAGATTCGAAATGCTGCTAGTATGACTCTGAATTGCACAGGTGGATTTATAATACAGGTGGTATTTGCTTTAGAACATCTTTGAATTCATCCTGATTATGTAAGATCAAGGTCAAAGACTCCAGGTAACACAGTCACTAAACTCTATGCAACAATTTCCTGAACTCGATAGACAGGTTTTGGAACGTACCAAGTAGGATTTATATAAATGTAAATTGAATTAGTAATATGTTCTTTTATTTCTAACAAAAACTTCTAGTAATAGGAACTTAAACGTTGACATTTTACGTTTACTTCATTTATATATATATATATATATATATATATATATATATATATATATATATATATATATATATATATATATATATATATATATATATAATATATATATATAATATATATATATATATAATATATATATATATATATATATATATAATATATATGTCCTCCCACACGTGACGTGGGAGGACACGTGACGTGGGAGGACACGTGACGTGGGAGGACACGTGACGTGGGAGGACCCGTGACGTGGGAGGACACGTGACGTGGGAGGACACGTGACGTGGGAGGACCCGTGACGTGGGAGGACACGTGACGTGGGAGGACCCGTGACGTGGGAGGACCCGTGACGTGGGAGGACACGTGACGTGGGAGGACACGTGACGTGGGAGGACACGTGACGTGGGAGGACACGTGACGTGGGAGGACACGTGACGTGGGAGGACACGTGACGTGGGAGGACACGTGACGTGGGAGGACACGTGACGTGGGAGGACACGTGACGTGGGAGGACACGTGACGTGGAAGGACACGTGACGTGGAAGGACACGTGACGTGGGAGGACACGTGACGTGGGAGGACACACGTCATCCGACGAACTGCCTGCCACAACACAGTCATGATTCACATGCTCTCAATTTCCGACATTAGACAGAGTATGAAAGTGATGTTTCCTTCAGCTGTAACCTGAGCGTCATAATGCACCAAGAGAACAATCATGGGGTTACAAATGGCCGTTCATGTTTAACAAAGTTGCTATCCTTTTATTACAGCATAGTTGAGGCAGTTGATAGTGGTAAGGACTGTAATGTTGTGCACCTTGACTTTAGCAAAGGTGTTGACACAGTGCCACATGAAAGACTGATTAAAAAGTTAGAGGCTCACAGTATGGGTGGTGCCATATTAAATTGGATTAGGGCATGGCTATACCAGAACCGGGAATAACGAAGCAGAAGATTTTCTAGAATTAATAGATTATTGCTTCCTTAAACAACACATTAAGGAAGCAACGCGTGAAAATAATATTTTTGACTTGGTGTTAACTAACAGGGAAACACAAATTAATGACATCGAAATAGGGAGTGAGGTAGGGAACAGTGATCACAAAGAAATCAGATTTAGCATAGAATGGAATAGATTTGTAAGAGAAAATTCTGTTGAAGTGTCTTATTTCAGAAAAGCTGATTTGAATGGCCTAAGGAATTTTTTGGGTGAAATAGATTGGCAATTTCTGGGCATTGGGGGTGGGCCGGTCTTGGAGCGACACGTGAACCCAGCGATGGGTGATGTAAAAAACGGATTACGATGTTAATTCAAAATATACCTTATTTAAAAATATTTTAGGCAAAGCACAGAAACGTAGTATACAATACAAATTGAATAGATAAATAAAAATGACCCGAAATTGATAGCAAAGGATCTGAAGAACCTTATAGGTAGAAAGAGAGCTCGGTATAAAAGGATTAAGAATGGGGGAATTTAGTTTAGAACAGGAATTCGTCCAATTGGTTAGAAATGTTATAAAAGAGATAAGGAGAGCAAAAAGAAACTATGAAGTTCGCATAGCAGGGCAAGGAAAGGCAAATCCTAAAGGATTTTTTCAGTAATATCGAACAAAGGTTAGGGAAAAGTTAGCTCCATTAAAAACTGAGACAGGTCAGATAACTGATAATGACGAAGAGATGCGAAGTATTTTAAATAAATATTTTATCTCTGTATTTACAAAAGAGGAACTTAACACTATGCCTTCAGCCGAACAAGGCTGTGGGTGGGGACGAGGACAGGTTGATTAGTTTAGCAGTTACCAGGGAGGATGTTATTAAACAAATAGTGAAACTCAAGCCAAACAAATCCCCAAGGCCAGACGAAGTGTTTGCCAGGGTGCTTAATGAATGCAAAGAGTAGTTTTGCGAGCCACTGTCTACCATATTTAATAAATCAATAGTCAGGCAGAGTGCCAGAGTCGGGAAGGTTGCTATTGTGCTAATTTTCCTTTCTGGAAAATTGGTACCACATCGCAAGTGATGATAGATCACTTGCGTCAAGCTATCGGCCAATTAGCTTAACGTCTATTGTGGAAAAGTTGCTTGAATCGATAACTGCAAATACCATTCGTCTTCATCTTGGAAAACATAGTTTAGTAAATGATTCACAACATCGTTTTATTCAAGTTGAAAAAATTTGCTACAAATTTATTGCAACATAGTTGAGGCAGTTGATATTGGTAAGGATTGTGATGTTGTGTACCTTGTGTACCACTGCTTTTGATACAGTGGTACATGAAAGATTGATTAAAAACATAGAGGCTCATGGTATTGGGGGTGCTATACTAAGTTGAACAAGGGCATGACTATACAAAAGGAAACAGAGTTAGTATAAATGGGGTTAAGTCAGAGTGGGAAAATGTTGTAAGTGGAGTGCCTCAAGACTCTGTCCTGGGACATCGATCTGTTACTAATAATAATATATATAAATGATTTAGATTCAAGTTTAAGCAGTAATATTTGCAAATTTGCCGGAGATACGAAAATCGGGAGGGAGATAGACACAGAAAAAGACTATCACTTCAAGATAATCTAAATAAGATTTTGAAATGGTTAAGAGATTGGCAGATGCAGTTTAATGCTGACAAATGTAAGGTTTTGAGGCAAGGTAATGATGAAAGAGTTACATGATACGAGCTAGATGGTGTTGAGATTGTAAAGTAGGATTGTGAAAGGGATCTGGGAGTTATGATGAGTAAGAATTTAAAGCCAAAAAATCAATGCACAGATGTTCGTAATAAGGCAAATAGGACACTGAGATGTATTTATCGAAGCGTAAGTAACAAGACACCTGGTGTTGTTCTTCAGCTATACCTTGCTCTGTTGACCAGACCACACATTAGGTGAAGGGACGACGACGTTTCGATCCGTCCTAGACCATTCTCTTCATCTTTCTCTTGCCTATTTAGTGCCTGCATCTACTTCCTCATCACAATCGACTTGAGAATGGTCCAGGACGGACCGAAACGACGTCGTCGTCTCTTCACCTTCTAGTGTGTGGTCTGGTCAACATACTTTAGCCACGTTATTGTGACTCATCGCCTGCATCTTGCTCTGGTTAGGCACCATTTAGATTATGCAGTTCAGTTTTGGTCGCCGTACTATAGAATTGATATAAATTCACTAGAACGCGTCCAGCGTAGGATGACAAAGTTAATCCCCCCAAATTAGAAACCTGTCATGTGAAGGGTCGCAGGGAAACTCAAGAAGCTGTAGGTGAACTCCAGGAGCTGCCGAGGAAACCCGGGGCTGCAGGGAAATCCCCAGAACTACAAAGGAACCCCAGAAGCTGCCGAGGAAACCCGGGGCTGCAGGGAAATCCCCAGAACTACAAAGGAACTCCAGAAGCTGCCGAGGAAACCCGGGGCTGCAGGGAAATCCCCAGAACTACAAAGGAACCCCAGAAGCTGCCGAGGAAACCCGGGGCTGCAGGGAAATCCCCAGAACTACAAAGGAACTCCAGGAGCTGCCGAGGAAACCCGGGGCTGCAGGGAAATCCCCAGAACTACAAAGGAACCCCAGAAGCTGCCGAGGAAACCCGGGGCTGCAGGGAAATCCCCAGAACTACAAAGGAACCCCAGAAGCTGCCGAGGAAACCCGGGGCTGCAGGGAAATCCCCAGAACTACAAAGGAACTCCAGGAGCTGCCGAGGAAACCCGGGGCTGCAGGGAAATCCCCAGAACTACAAAGGAACTCCAGGAGCTGCCGAGGAAACCCGGGGCTGCAGGGAAATCCCCAGAACTACAAAGGAACTCCAGGAGCTGCCGAGGAAACCCGGGGCTGCAGGGAAATCCCCAGAACTACAAAGGAACTCCAGGAGCTGCCGAGGAAACCAGAGGTACCACATGGCAACCCAATGGGTCGCTGGGGACCGCAGGGGACAGGGGGGAACTCCAAGAGCTACAGGGAAACCTCAAGTCCCTCTGTAGTGAAGATGTACACTGTTAGCTACGGTGTGTATTGTGAAGATGTACACTGTTAACTACGGTGTATATTGTGAAGATGTACACTGTTAGCTACGGTGTGTATTGTGAAGATGTACACTGTTGGCTACGGTGTGTATTGTGAAGATGAACACTGTTAGCTACGGTGTATATTGTGAAGATGAACACTGTTGGCTACGGTGTATATTGTGAAGATGTACACTGTTAGCTACGGTGTGTATTGTGAAGATGTACACTGTTAGCTACGGTGTGTATTGTGAAGATGTACACTGTTAGCTACGGTGTGTATTGTGAAGATGTACACTGTTAGCTACGGTGTGTATTGTGAAGATGTACACTGTTAGCTACGGTGTGTATTGTGAAGATGTACACTGTTAGCTACTGTGTGCAGTGAAGATGTACACTGTTAGCTACGGTGTATATTGTGAAGATGTACACTGTTAGCTACTGTGTGTATTGTGAAGATGTACACTGTTAGCTACGGTGTGTATTGTGAAGATGTACACTGTTAGCTACGGTGTATATTGTGAAGATGTACACTGTTAGCTACTGTGTGCAGTGAAGATGTACACTGTTAGCTACTGTGTGTATTGTGAAGATGTACACTGTTAGCTACTGTGTGCAGTGAAGATGTACACTGTTAGCTACGGTGTGTATTGTGAAGATGTACACTGTTAGCTACTGTGTGCAGTGAAGATGTACACTGTTAGCTACGGTGTGCAGTGAAGATGTATATTAGCAGTGTAAATGTAACGACCTACACAACATCTACGGGTAACGTTAACTCAACGTTTGTTTAACGTTATATCTTGAGGTTATATTGAGATGATTTCGGGGCTTTTTAGTGTCCCCGCGGCCCGGTCCTCGACCAGGGATCCACCCCCAGGAAGCAGCCCGTGACAGCTGACTAACACCCAGGTACCTATTTTACTGCTAGGTAACAGGGGCATAGGGTGAAAGAGACTCTGCCCATTGTTTCTCGCCGGCGCCTGGGATCGAACCCAGGACCACAGGATCACAAGTCCAGGGTGCTGTCCGCTCGGCCGACCGACTCCCAGGATCCTTGGACATTGTGGCCACTTGGGAGCGAGACGTGAACCCAGCGATAGGTGACGTAAAAAGGGATTTCGATGTGGATTCAAAATATTACTTATTTAAAAATATTCTAAGCAATGCACAGGAACGTAGTATACCAGAATATACCAGGAGCCGGTCGGCCGAGCGGAGAGCACACTGAACTTGTGATCCTGTGGTCCTGGGTTCGATCCCGGGCGCCGGAGAAAAACAATGGGCAGTTTCTTTCACCCTATGCCCCTGTTACCTAGCACTAAAATAGGTACCTGGGTGTTAGTCAGCTGTCACGGGCTGCTTCCTGGGGGTGGAGGCCTGGTCGAGGACCGGGCCGCGGGGACACTAAAAAGCCCCGAAATCATCTCAAGATAGCCATACAAATTGAATAGATCGAGCACTAATGACCCAGAGTGGATAACAAAGGATCTGAAGAACCTTATAGGAAAAAAGAGAGCGTGGTACAAAAGGATTAAGAATGGGGAAGTCAGTTTAGAACACGAATTCGTACAACTGGTTAGAAATGTTAAAAAAGAGATAAGGAAAGCTAAAAGAAACTATGAAGTTCGCATAGCAGGGCAAGCAAAGCCAAATCCTAAAGTTTTTTCAATTGCAGGCGACGAGTCACAATAACGTGGCTGAAGAATGCTGACCAGACCACACACTAGAAGGTGAAGGGACGACCACGTTTCGGTCCGTCATGGATCATTCTCAAGTCGATGGTGAGAATGGTCACAATCGACGTGAGAATGATCCAGGACGGACCGAAACGTCGTCGTACCTTCACCTTCTAGTGTGTGGTCTGGGCAACTTTTTTCAGTAATATCGAACAAAGATTAGGGAAAGAATAGGTCCATTAAAAACTCAGATAGGCCAGATAACGGATAATGACGAAGAGATGAGTATAGTATTTTTAATAAATATTTTATATCTGTATTTACTAAAGAGGCGCTTAACAATATGCTTTCAACCGAACAAGTCTATGTGGGATGGCAAAGGTCCTCTTAAAAATAACGTCGCTTTCGCTCGTATGCGCTATGGCCAAAAATGGACGTAATTTTAAATTAAATCGGCTCACAAAAGTGATGTACTTTCCCATTTTCTGTTTCAGTTCTCTGGCTTACTCAGAAAGGTTATTAGATGAAACTTTCAAATAACATTTTTCATGACGTTTTGAAACTTAAGGAGAATTTCCTGCCAACCTAACCTATCAGAGGACCCTTAATTTACTGTTTTTTGGGAAAAAATCCAAAATTTATTTTCAATTCTTTTTCCTTTTTGAAATTACGTCCATTATCGGCCATACGGGAAAACGACCAAAAGCGACGTAATTTTTAAGAGGACAGGTTGACTAGTTTAGCAGTTACCAGGGAGGATGTAATTAAACAAATAGTAAAACTAAAACCAAACAAATCCCCAGGGCCGGATGAAGTGTTTGCCAGGGTGCTTAAAGAATGCAAAGAGGAGCTTTGCGAGCCGTTGTCTACCATATTTAATAAATCAATAGAGTTAGGCAGAGTGCCAGAGTCATGGAAGGTTGCTAATGTGGTACCAATTTTAAGAAAGGAGATAGATCACTTGCGTCAAACTATCGGCCAATTAGCCTAACGTCAATTGTAGGAAAGTTACTTGAATCGATAATTGCAAATACAATTCGTCTTCATCTTGAAAAACATAAATTAATAAATGATTCTCAACATGTTTTTACAAATGGCCGTTCATGTTTAAAAAATTTGCTATCTTTTTATTCCAGCATAGTTGAGGCAGTTGATAGTGGTAAGGATTGTGATGTTGTGTACCTTGACGTTAGCAAAGCTTTTGATACAGTGCCACATGATAGACTAATTAAAAAAATAGAAGCTCGTGGTATTGGGGGTGCTATATTAACTTGGATTAGGGCATGGCAATTCCAAAGGAAACAGAGAGTTAGTATAAATGGGGTTAAGTCAGAGTGGGATAATGTTGTTAGTGGAGTACCTCAAGGCTCTGTCCTGGGACCTCTGTTGTTTATAATATATATAAGTTATTTAGATTCGGGTTTGAGTAGCAACATTTGCAAATTTGCCGATGATACAAAAATCGGTAGGGAAATTAACACGGAAGAAGACTCACTATCACTTCAAGTTGATGTGAATAGGGTTTTGAAATGGTCAAATATTGTCAGATGCAGTTTAATGCTGATAAATGTAAAGTTTTGAGGCTAGGTAATGAGTTACAAGATACGAGCTAGATGGAATTGAGATTGGGAAAGGGATCTGGGACAAATCCACAAGGGCCGTGACGAGGATTCGAACCTGCGACCGGAAGCATCCCAGACACTGCCTTAATCGACTGAGCTACGACAGGGTTAAAAGAGTTGAAACCGAAGTTCTCTGAACTTACTGGATCCCGTGTTAAGTTCAGTAGAACTTCGGTTTCAACTCTTTTAAGCCTGTCGTAGCTCAGTCGATTAAGGCAGTGTCTGGGATGCTCCCGGACGCAGGTTCGAATCCTCGTCACAGCCCTTGTGGATTTGTTCATTTGATGCATCACGTTAGTGTGATCTCTATGTGTAAGGGATCTGGGAGTTATGATTAGTAAGAATATAAAACCAAAGGATCAATGCATGAATGTTAGTAATAAGGCAAATAGGACACTGGAATTTATTAATCGCAGCGTTAGTAACAAGACACCTGGTGTGGTTCTTCAGCTATATCTTGCTCTGGTTAGGCACCATTTAGATTATGCAGTTCAGTTTTGGTCGCCGTACTATAGAATGGATATAAATTCACTTGAACGTGTTCAGCGTAGGATAACGAAGTTAATTCCGCAAATTAGAAATCTTTCATATGAAGAAAGATTAACAAAGCTTAAATTGCATTCACTGGAGAGGCGAAGAGTTAGTGGTGACATGATAGAGGTTTACAAGTGGATGAATGGACATAAATAGAGATAAAATATTTATTAAAAATACTACTCATCTCTTCGTCATTATCCGTTAACTGACCTGTCTCGGTTTTCAATGGACCTATCCTTTCCCTAACCTTTGTTCGATATAACTGAAAAAAAAAATTTAGAATTTGCCTTTGCTTGCCCTGCAATACGAACTTCATAGTTTCTTTTTGCTTTCCTTATCTCTTTTTTAACATTTCTAAAAAATTGTGCGAATTCTTGTTCTAAACTGACTTCCCTTATTAATTATAAGGTGTTTCAGATCCTTTGGTAATCATTTCGGGTCATTTGTATATGATCTATTCAATTTGTAAGGTATACTACTTTCCTGTGCTTTGCTTAAAAGATTTGTAAATAAGTTATATTTTGAATCCAAATCGAAATCCTCCGTTACATCACACATGGGCTGGGTTCACGTCCTGCTCCAAGACCGGCCCAACCCCTATGCCCATGACTTTCCAATCTATTTGCCCCCAAAATTTTTTAGAATATTGAAATTAGCTTTACGAAATTCTGGCACTTTAACAGCATTTTCTCCTGCAGATCTCTTCCACTCTATGCTAAATCTAATTTGTTTGTGATCACTGTTCCCTAGCTCACTCCCGATTTCTATGTTATTAATCTGTGTTTCCCTGTTTGTTAACACTAAATCTAAAATATTATTTTCCCTCGTTGGTGCCTTAATGTGTTGCGTAAGAAAACAATCGTTAATTAAATCTATAAAATCTTCTGTTTTGTTATTCCCTGTTCTGTTAATCCAGTTTATTCCACTAAAATTAAAGTCACCCATGATATAAATACTGTTAGATCTAGATGCTCTAGATATTTCATCCCATAGATGCTTTGCTTCCATTCTGTCTAAATTTGGTGGCCTATATATAACTCCTATTATAAGATTATTTGCTTTTTCGTTTAATTCTATCCAAATAGTTTCTGTGTGGCACAATTTTGATTCCCTCTTTGAGACTACATTTCAAATTGTCCCTAACATATATGGCTACTCCCCCTCCTCGTCTAATATAATTATCTGTGTGAAATAGTTTAAATCCATTTATTTGATATTCAGCTAATAGTTCTCTATTTTCTACGTTCATCCACGTTTGGGTCAGTAGGAGGGAAGTCATGGTCACTGTGGGTGTGTATACTGCAACTGTGTTGTAACTTAACTTGAACTGTAACTAAACCACCCAGCTCCGGTCCACCCGGAGGTCCGGAGATTATGTTCTTGGGAGGCTGTGGCCCCCTGGTCGTGCCCCGGGGCACCGCCAAGTACCTCAGGGTGTGGCCCCCTGGTCGTCCCCCGGGGCACCACCAAGTACCTCAGGGTGTGGCCCCCTGGTCGTCCCCCGGGGCACCGCCAAGTACCTCAGGGTGTGGCCCCCTGGTCGTCCCCGGGGCACCGCCAAGTACCTCAGGGTGTGGCCCCCTGGTCGTCCCCGGGGGCACCACCAAGTACCTCAGGGTGTGGCCCCCTGGTCGTCCCCCGGGGCACCACCAAGTACCTCAGGGTGTGGCCCCCTGGTCGTCCCCGGGGCACCACCAAGTACCTCAGGGTGTGGCCCCTGGTCGTCCCCGGGGCACTGCCAAGTACCTCAGGGTGTGGCCCCTGGTCGTCCCCGGGGCACCGCCAAGTACCTCAGGGTGTGGCCCATGGTCGTCCCCGGGGGCACCACCAAGTACCTCAGGGTGTGGCCCCCTGGTCGTCCCCGGGGGCACCGCCAAGTACCTCAGGGTGTGGCCCCCTGGTCGTCCCCGGGGGCACCGCCAAGTACCTCAGGGTGTGGCCCCTGGTCGTCCCCTGGGGCACCGCCAAGTACCTCAGGGTGTGGCCCCCTGGTCGTCCCCGGGGCACCGCCAAGTACCTCAGGGTGTGGCCCCCTGGTCGTCCCCGGGGCACCACCAAGTACCTCAGGGTGTGGCCCCCTGGTCGTCCCCGGGGCACCACCAAGTACCTCAGGGTGTGGCCCCCTGGTCGTCCCCGGGGGCACCGCCAAGTACCTCAGGGTGTGGCCCATGGTCGTCCCCGGGGCACCACCAAGTACCTCAGGGTGTGGCCCATGGTCGTCCCCGGGGCACCACCAAGTACCTCAGGGTGTGGCCCCCTGGTCGTCCCCGGGGCACCACCAAGTACCTCAGGGTGTGGCCCCCTGGTGTGCTCTCCTAGTATGGATGTGGTCGACAGGACCAATATGTCGTCTTGGACCACCAGAAAGTTGACGTTGGTAATATTGCATTTGGACACACCGGAAAAGTGTTTATATACATGTTGCTAATAAAACCTAATCTGACCTAACTTAACTATCCTAGGCCTAATACACACTATTTGAGGCCTAATATAGTTCATAAATGTGCTATACTAGGCCTGGGAATATTTAAGTTTCGATATTAGTTTTATTTTCCAAATTTCGTTAAAATTTTTACAAAAAAGTGGCTTATGTGGACTGCATTACTATAAGTTGGTACTTTCGAGCACATAGTTACGAGGAGTACTGTCAATCCGGGAAGCTGGGTAGGTGTCTTTACACTACACTACAGGTGCACCTCCCCCCACACTACACTACAGGTGCACCTCCCCCCACACTACACTACAGGTGCACCACCCCCCACACTACACTACAGGTGCACCACCCCCCACACTACACTACAGGTGCACCTCCCTACACACTACACTACAGGTGCACCTCCCCCCACACTACACTACAGGTGCACCTCCCCCCCCACACTACACTACAGGTGCACCTCCCCCCACACTACACTACAGGTGCACCTCCCCCCACACTACACTACAGGTGCACCTCCCCCCACACTACACTACAGGTGCACCTCCCCCCACACTACACTACAGGTGCACCTCCCTACACACTACACTACAGGTGCACCTCCCCTCCCTACACACACTACACTACAGGTGCACCTCCCCTCCCTACACACACTACACTACAGGTGCACCTCCCCTCCCTACACACACTACACTACAGGTGCACCTCCCCCCACACTACACTACAGGTGCACCTCCCCCCACACTACACTACAGGTGCACCTCCCCTCCCTACACACACTACACTACAGGTGCACCTCCCCTCCCTACACACACTACACTACAGGTGCACCTCCCCTCCCTACACACACTACACTACAGGTGCACCTCCCCCCACACTACACTACAGGTGCACCTCCCCCCACACTACACTACAGGTGCACCTCCCCCCACACTACACTACAGGTGCACCTCCCTACACACTACACTACAGGTGCACCTCCCCCCACACTACACTACAGGTGCACCTCCCCCCACACTACACTACAGGTGCACCTCCCCCCACACTACACTACAGGTGCACCTCCCCCCACACTACACTACAGGTGCACCTCCCCTCCCTACACACACTACACTACAGATGCACCTCCCCCCCCCACACACACACAAACACACACACACACACAGAAATTAAACCTCACTTCGCTGGAAGACAGAAGAGTAAGGGGGGACATGATCACCACATTCAAGATTCTGAAGGGAATTGATAGGGTAGATAAAGACAGTCTATTTAACACAAGGGGCACACGCACTAGGGGACACAGGTGGAAACTGAGTGCCCAAATGAGCCACAGAGATATTAGAAAGAACTTTTTTAGTGTCAGAGTGGTGGACAAATGGAATGCATTAGGAAGTGATGTGGTGGCGGCTGACTCCATACACAGTTTCAAGTGTAGATATGATAGAGCCCGATAGGCTCAGGAACCTGTACACCTGTTGATTGACAGTTGAGAGGCGGCTGAGCCAGAGCTCAACCCCCGCAAGGGTGAGTACACACACACACACAGCACACACACACTCACACACACCACAACACACACACACATACACACACTACACTACAGGTGCACCTCCCCCCCCCCACACACACACTAACAAAATGTTTCGTAACCTGTGTTTGGAAGACTTCGAAGCATCTTGCATCAAATTCGTAACTTGGTGTGTCGGAAAGCTTCGAAGCATGAAGTGAAGACCAGGAACGAGTCTATACGTAAGAGGTAAATACCGTTTAAGAATTATCACCACGTCTGAGGACTAGCGTGCATGTCAATTGTGGTGTGCGTGTGTGTGTAGCGCATACACGGCACCGCCAATGATGGCAGGGACGCCTCCCTCGGGAATGATGGTAATGAAGTGGAACAGACCGACCCACAAGAGTGGAACAGACCGACCCACAAGAGTGGAACAGACCGACCCTCAAGAGTGGAACAGACCGACCCACAAGAGTGGAACAGACCGACCCTCAAGAGTGGAACAGACCGACCCACAAGAGTGGAACAGACCGACCCTCAAGAGTGGAACAGACCGACCCACAAGAGTGGAACAGACCGACCCTCAAGAGTGGAACAGACCGACCCACAAGAGTGGAACAGACCGACCCACAAGAGTGGAACAGACCGACCCACAAGAGTGGAACAGACCGACCCACAAGAGTGGAACAGACCGACCCACAAGAGTGGAACAGACCGACCCACAAGAGTGGAAAAGACCGACCCACAAGAGTGGAACAGACCGACCCACAAGAGTGGAACAGACCGACCCCCACAAGAGTGGAACAGACCGACCCACAAGAGTGGAAAAGACCGACCCACAAGAGTGGAACAGACCGACCCACAAGAGTGGAAAAGACCGACCCACAAGAGTGGAACAGACCGACCCACAAGAGTGGAACAGACCGACCCACAAGAGTGGAACAGACCGACCCACAAGAGTGGAACAGACCGACCCTCAAGAGTGGAACAGACCGACCCACAAGAGTGGAAAAGACCGACCCACAAGAGTGGAACAGACCGACCCACAAGAGTGGAACAGACCGACCCACAAGAGTGGAACAGACCGACCCACAAGAGTGGAACAGACCGACCCACAAGAGTGGAACAGACCGACCCACAAGAGTGGAACAGACCGACCCACAAGAGTGGAACAGACCGACCCACAAGAGTGGAACAGACCGACCCACAAGAGTGGAACAGACCGACCCACAAGAGTGGAACAGACCGACCCACAAGAGTGGAACAGACCGACCCACAGTGGAACAGACCGACCCACAAGAGTGGAACAGACCGACCATCAAGAGTGGAACAGACCGACCCACAGAGTGGAACAGACCGACCCACAAGAGTGGAACAGACCGACCATCAAGAGTGGAACAGACCGACCCACAAGAGCGGAACAGACCGACCCACAAGAGTGGAACAGACCGACCATCAAGAGTGGAACAGACCGACCCACAAGAGTGGAAAAGACCGACCCACAAGAGTGGAACAGACCGACCCACAAGAGTGGAAAAGACCGACCCACAAGAGTGGAACAGACCGACCCACAAGAGTGGAACAGACCGACCATCAAGAGTGGAACAGACCGACCCACAAGAGTGGAAAAGACCGACCCACAAGAGTGGAACAGACCGACCCACAAGAGTGGAACAGACCGACCATCAAGAGTGGAACAGACCGACCCACAAGAGTGGAACAGACCGACCCACAAGAGTGGAACAGACCGACCATCAAGAGTGGAACAGACCGACCATCATGAGTGGAACAGACCGACCATCAAGAGTGGAACAGACCGACCCACATGAGTGGAACAGACCGACCCACAAGAGTGGAACAGACCGACCCACAAGAGTGGAACAGACCGACCCACAAGAGTGGAACAGACCGACCCACAAGAGTGGAACAGACCGACCCACAAGAGTGGAACAGACCGACCCACAAGAGTGGAACAGACCGACCCACAAGAGTGGAACAGACCGACCCACAAGAGTGGAACAGACCGACCCACAAGAGTGGAACAGACCGACCCTCATGAGTGGAACAGACCGACCCACAAGAGTGGAACAGACCGACCCACAAGAGTGGAACAGACCGACCCACAAGAGTGGAACAGACCGACCCTCATGAGTGGAACAGACCGACCCTCAAGAGTGGAACAGACCGACCCTCAAGAGTGGAACAGACCGACCCACAAGAGTGGAACAGACCGACCCACAAGAGTGGAACAGACCGACCCTCATGAGTGGAACAGACCGACCCTCAAGAGTGGAACAGACCGACCCTCAAGAGTGGAACAGACCGACCCACAAGAGTGGAACAGACCGACCCTCATGAGTGGAACAGACCGACCCTAAAGAGTGGAACAGACCGACCATCAAGAGTGGAACAGACCGACCCACAAGAGTGGAACAGACCGACCCCCAAGAGTGGAACAGACCGACCCACAAGAGTGGAACAGACCGACCCACAAGAGTGGAACAGACCGACCCACAAGAGTGGAACAGACCGACCCACAAGAGTGGAACAGACCGACCCACAAGAGTGGAACAGACCGACCCACATGAGTGGAACAGACCGACCCCCAAGAGTGGAACAGACCGACCCACATGAGTGGAACAGACCGACCCACAAGAGTGGAACAGACCGACCCACAAGAGTGGAACAGACCGACCTACAAGAGTGGAACAGACCGACCCTCAAGAGTGGTACAGACCGACCCTCAAGAGTGGAACAGACCGACCCACAAGAGTGGAACAGACCGACCCTCATGAGTGGAACAGACCGACCCTCAAGAGTGGAACAGACCGACCCACATGAGTGGAACAGACCGACCCACAAGAGTGGAACAGACCGACCCACAAGAGTGGAACAGACCGACCCACAAGAGTGGAACAGACCGACCTACAAGAGTGGAACAGACCGACCCTCATGAGTGGAACAGACCGACCCTCAAGAGTGGAACAGACCGACCCTCAAGAGTGGAACAGACCGACCCACAAGAGTGGAACAGACCGACCCTCATGAGTGGAACAGACCGACCCTCATGAGTGGAACAGACCGACCCACATGAGTGGAACAGACCGACCCTCAAGCGTGGAACAGACCGACCCTCATGAGTGGAACAGACCGACCCTCAAGAGTGGAAAAGACCGACCCTCATGAGTGGAACAGACCGACCCTCAAGAGTGGAACAGACCGACCCTCATGAGTGGAAAAGACCGACCCTCATGAGTGGAACAGACCGACCCTCAAGAGTGGAACAGACCGACCCTCAAGAGTGGAACAGACCGACCCTCAAGAGTGGAACAGACCGACCCTCAAGAGTGGAACAGACCGACCCTCATGAGTGGAACAGACCGACCCTCATGAGTGGAACAGACCGACCCTCATGAGTGGAACAGACCGACCCTCATGAGTGGAACAGACCGACCCTCATGAGTGGAACAGACCGACCCTCATGAGTGGAACAGACCGACCCTCATGAGTGGAACAGACCGACCCTCAAGAGTGGAACAGACCGACCCTCAAGAGTGGAACAGACCGACCCTCAAGAGTGGAACAGACCGACCCTCAAGAGTGGAACAGACCGACCCACAAGAGTGGAACAGACCGACCCTCAAGAGTGGAACAGACCGACCCTCAAGAGTGGAACAGACCGACCCTCAAGAGTGACGGGTGTCTGGCATCGTAATCACAACGACGTTCCATCATGGTAGCTTCTTGCATGGTAATAGTCAGCAGCAGAGGCCCTCGAGTGCCTCCATCATGGTGGCTTCTTGCATGGTAATAGTCAGCAGCAGAGGCCCTCGAGTGCCTCCATCATGGTAGCTTCTTGCATGGTAATAGTCAGCAGCAGAGGCCCTCGAGTGCCTCCATCATGGTAGCTTCTTGCATGGTAATAGTCAGCAGCAGAGGCCCTCGAGTGCCTCCATCATGGTAGCTTCTTGCATGGTAATAGTCAGCAGCAGAGGCCCTCGAGTGCCTCCATCATGGTGGCTTCTTGCATGGTAATAGTCAGCAGCAAAGGCCCTCGAGTGCCTCCATCATGGTGGCTTCTTGCATGGTAATAGTCAGCAGCAGAGGCCCTCGAGTGCCTCCATCATGGTGGCTTCTTGCATGGTAATAGTCAGCAGCAAAGGCCCTCGAGTGCCTCCATCATGGTGGCTTCTTGCATGGTAATAGTCAGCAGCAAAGGCCCTCGAGTGCCTCCATCATGGTGGCTTCTTGCATGGTAATAGTCAGCAGCAAAGGCCCTCGAGTGCCTCCATCATGGTGGCTTCTTGCATGGTAATAGTCAGCAGCAGAGGCCCTCGAGTGCCTCCATCATGGTGGCTTCTTGCATGGTAATAGTCAGCACAAGAGGCCCTCGAGTGCCTCCATCATGGTGGCTTCTTGCATGGTAATAGTCAGCACCAGAGGCCCTCGAGTGCCTCCATCATGGTGGCTTCTTGCATGGTAATAGTCAGCAGCAGAGGCCCTCGAGTGCCTCCATCATGGTGGCTTCTTGCATGGTAATAGTCAGCAGCAGAGGCCCTCGAGTGCCTCTATCATGGTAGCTTCTTGCATGGTAATAGTCAGCAGCAGAGGCCCTCGAGTGCCTCCATCATGGTAGCTTCTTGCATGGTAATAGTCAGCAGCAGAGGCCCTCGAGTGCCTCCATCATGGTGGCTTCTTGCATGGTAATAGTCAGCAGCAAAGGCCCTCGAGAGCCTCCATCATGGTGGCTTCTTGCATGGTAATAGTCAGCAGCAAAGGCCCTCGAGTGCCTCCATCATGGTGGCTTCTTGCATGGTAATAGTCAGCAGCAAAGGCCCTCGAGTGCCTCCATCATGGTGGCTTCTTGCATGGTAATAGTCAGCAGCAAAGGCCCTCGAGTGCCTCCATCATGGTGGCTTCTTGCATGGTAATAGTCAGCAGCAAAGGCCCTCGAGTGCCTCCATCATGGTGGCTTCTTGCATGGTAATAGTCAGCAGCAAAGGCCCTCGAGTGCCTCCATCATGGTGGCTTCTTGCATGGTAATAGTCAGCACCAGAGGCCCTCTGGCCTCTGGTGCTGAGATTTTCACACCCTCTTGTTTGTGACTTTGATCTACACGTTAGCATCAATGACTGGTGACCTTGTACAGCATGACCCGCTAGTGATGTCATTTATGTAAATGAGGGAGTGGAACAGGTGCCAGGACTGAACCCTGTATAACGTGTCGTGATTGTATATATATATATATATATATATATATATATATATATATATATATATATATATATATATATATATATATATATATATATATATATATATATATATATATATATGTCGTACCTAGTAGCCAGAACGCACTTCTCAGCCTACTATGCAAGGCCCAATTTGCCTAATAAGCCAAGTTTTTATGAATTAATTGTTTTTCGACTACCTAACCTACCTAACCTAACCTAACCTATCTTTTTCAGCTACCTAACCTAACCTAACCTATAAAGATAGGTTAGGTTAGGTTAGGTAGGGTTGGTTAGGTTCGGTCATATATCTACGTTAATTTTAACTCCAATAAAAAACAATTGACCTCATACATAATGAAATGGGTAGCTCTATCATTTCATAAGAAAAAATTTGAGAAAATATATTAATTCGTGAAAACTTACCTTATTAGGCAAATTGGGCCTTGCATAGTAGGCTGAGAAGTGCGTTCTGGCTACTAGGTACGACATATATATATATATATATATATATATATATATATATATATATATATATATATATATATATATATATATATATATATATGTCGTACCTAGTAGCCAGAACTCACTTCTCAGCCTACTATTCAAGGCCCGATTTGCCTAATAAGCCAAGTTTTCCTGAATTAATATATTTACTATAATTTTTTCTTATGAAATGATAAAGCTACTCTTTTCACTATGTATGAGGTCAATTTTTTTTATTGGAGTTAAAATTAACGTAGATATATGACCGAACCTAACCAACCCTACCTAACCTAACCTAACCTATATATATAGGTAAGGTTAGGTTAGGTAGCCAAAAAAAGCTAGGTTAGGTTAGGTTAGGTAGGTTAGGTAGACGAAAAAACATTAATTCATGAAAACTTGGCTTATTAGGCAAATCGGGCCTTGCATAGTAGGCTGAGAAGTGAGTTCTGGCTACTAGGTACGACATATATATATATATATATATATATATATATATATATATATATATATATATATATTATATATATTATATATATATATGTACACTACAGGTGCACCTCCCCCCCCCCCCACACACACACAATACACTACAGGTGCACCTCCCCGCCCCCCCCACACACACACACTACACTACAGGTGCACCTCCCCCCACACTACACTACAGGTGCACCTCCCCCCACACTACACTACAGGTGCACCTCCCCCCCCCCCCACACACACTACACTACAGGTGCACCTCCCCCCACACTACACTACAGGTGCACCGTTCCCCCCCACACACACACACTACACTACAGGTGCACCTCCCCACACACACACACTACACTACAGGTGCACCTCCCCCCACACTACACTACAGGTGCACCGTTCCCCCCACACACACACACTACACTACAGGTGCACCTCCCCACACACACACACTACACTACAGGTGCACCTCCCCACACACACACAGGAATATGATAGAAACAACATGGCCACCATTAACATAATAGAAAGAGCAGCTTCTGTTGCTAGCAGGAATGGATCTGGACTACTAATTATGAGAGACTTCAACCATGGGAAGATAGATTGGGAGAACAGAGACCTGCATGGAGGACCAG